CACACACACACACACACACACACGCGCGCACGCACTCACGCACACACACACACACACACACACACACACACGCAAACTATCCAGTGCTGCATTGCACCACCGAAATGCAGTATGCTCAATGCAGCAGCAGCAGCACAGCATATGGCATGCTGTTAGAGCAGTATGTGACAGTGACCCACAACACTGCAGATTCACACAAGCCATACTAGCAAGAGTACTGAATCGTGATCGTCTTACACGGGCTTCATTGTACTACTGAATGCCAAAGGAACACACTGTGGCACACAAGTGAAAACTCTCACCTCGAATTTGAACTGCTCTTCAGCTCTCGCCTTGTACGTGCGTGGGTCGATGAAAACAATCAAGTCATCCTAGGAGCAAAGAAAAAAGAAAAGAAAAAATTCACGGTCCGCGCGAGACTCGGCTGGAGACAGAATTGTCCGCATCCGCAGGGACTCTACCACCCTCAAGGATCAAGGCGCAGATGCAGCTTCTAAAGCGGTGGGAGGTGAGTAGATCAGACCCACCGAAGGAAAAACGCTCGTAAGGACAGAAATAGAGGATTCAATTCCAGATTTTGACAGCCTCGCTGCAGTGTCAGAAAAGCGAAAGAGCATTGTAGCACCAACAGCAGATGCAGCACAGATCGAAGAGGACATGTGATACAAGTTCTGCATATCAGATGACCCTGGTAAACCAGTTGATATTCTGTTGTTTTGAACGCACCAGAATATGAATGCACTTAGTGTGCATACCGTGCGCTTGATACCAACAGGACTGAATACACACAAACACACACACACGTGCATACACACACGTGCATACACACACGTGCATACACACACACAGAGGCATGCGTGACTCCAGCGTACCTTGTTTCCAACAGCTATTGTCTGTCCGTCTGGGCTCCAAGTTAAGTTAATGTTTTCACCGGATGTCTTGATCAAATGCATACATCTATTAGCTGTACCAACAACAAGAAGCAGGGGGGAGGAGAGAGATAGATAGAGAGAAAGTCATTATGCTGCTCTATGCAAAAGTACACTGAACAGCCAGAAAAAAGAAAAAAAAAGAAAAAAATCTGAGCTCAGCCATTCCGTTATGTGTTGATATCACAGACATTCAAACGAACGAGATTCCATTTATGCATCATAGCTCAGAAAATTTACTTGAAATATTTTTATCGCCCGGAGCGGGGTTTGATGCAGGTACCCCCGGGTCCTGAGGCACAGGACCCGACCACGGGGCTAAAGAACCTCTAGGTTTGATGAAGCAAGCCAGTGCACATCTAAAGGCGTGCATCACTTGGCCAAGACAACACGCAAGGTGAAAGCAAGTGGGCCAAGCACAGAACCGAGTAAAAAAGGCTGAAAACAAGATGGTATGCACGCCAACATACAGTTCCAAAGTGTACTTGCACTATTTCACCACAATACATACAAGCAAGAGTACCTAATGTACTCTTGATACTACAAGCAATAAAGGAAAGTTGCGGGATGTGTGAGGCCTAGGCCACGAGGCTGACCCCCCAGTACTTCGGCACCCAGAGTTGTAGCTCGCACGTGAGTGGGGAGCTGACTATGTGCCAGAGCACATCTGTGGTGTGGTGACTATGTAGTATGTACCACTAGCAATCTCAGAGCTGCCATTTTGCCCATTTGGCCTATGTAGCACAGGTGGAATCCTGATACAGGTCTGCTCTCGATATAACAACTCTCACTTGTACATAAACCTCGCTAGTACATAAAAAAATCAAATCCCGCGCCGAAACAGCATCACTCCCATACAAATTTTGTTCTACACAACATAATCCTACATAACATAAACCTCGACATAACACACGCTACGGCGGTCCCCGACGTGCGAACTCTCGATACAACATAAATTCACTTGCACGGTACAATCAAGCGGTAGCTGTAGCTAGGCAGTTTAGGCCAGTTTAGTCCTACATAACGTAAACCTCGGCATAACGCACCCTACGGCGCAGTCCCCGACGTGTGCACTCTCGATACAACGTAGATTCACGTGCGCGGTACAATCTAGCTGTAGCCGTAGCTAGCCAGTTTAGTCTTATTGTGCATATATTCTGCGGCATTGATGGTATCTGATGTCGATGGTGGTACAGTGTGTATATGTTTGCACGGTTGAACCCGCCTTGTAATACCCTTCATTTTGAGGTGCATCTTGTATTTTACACACGGTTTTCTACATAACATAACTCTCAATATAACATACTTTTTGCGTGGTCCCAGAGATTACGTTATATGGAGAGTAGACCTGTAATTCGAATATGGCTTAATTCGAACATACCGCTTAATTAGAAGTTTTTCCAGGACCGATTTCTATCAATACGATTCCCACATATAATTTCTGATAATTCGAACCTCGAACTGGATATGTCCGGTTAATTAGAAGTCCCACAGATTCCACTTACATAGAAAACGTGTGGGATTTGTGCTGATAATTCGAAGTTAGTAAACTGTAATTCGAAGTTCACTGTACACTGTACTGGTCAGTTCAGTTTGCATGAGCAGGCTGTGCCGGTCAGTTCAGTATCCGTGAAATCTGTGTAGTCCGTGAGCCAAAACTCAAAATCACAAGTGCCGTTGCACTCTCGGATGGACAAATCGCCGCTTACAGTGTTGGTCAAGGACATCACAAAGGATACGTTTTCGCTTGTTGGACGTTCCAGAACCGATCCAGAGACCTTCGCGAGGGCTTCTTTTCTCGACCAAATTCCACCGTATTTTTACGCGAGTGGTGAGGTGTGCGTCGTATGAGCAAGCGCAAAACACGAGTTCGCGTGGAGTGAGGAAAAATAATTTATTTTTTAGAAGATGACGACGTTGACGACAATATATATCGACTTGGGATAGTGTGATCACTTTATTGAAGTTGATTCCTTTCGTGTACATTGATGTTGTTTTGACAACAATGGAAGAAGAAGAAGACGTTTCTAGTGGCAGCGAGGTGCTGGATGAGGCAGCTGACGGCAACGAAGTGGCAAATGACAGCCCAGCGGAGTAATATTGCTGGAATTTTGTGTCTGTGTCACCAGCGCCCAATAATTTAGTAAAAACGAGAAGCCTGCAGTGAGTAATATCGAGACTACAAGTTGGTGTCGCATCGTCAGCGCTGCTCGAGAGAAGGACGACCATATCTGGGCTTTTCTCTGCCAGCACAAGAGCTCAGGGAGGAGTAAATGGTGTGGCTGGTATCATGGAAAGTGCTACACCAATTGCACCCATGTGATAGCAATTGCAAACCTGGAGAAGACCAGTGCCTCTGATTTTGCTTTGTCTATACTTGCTGACAGTGATGTGCATGTAGTAGTGAACCCAGAGCCACATCCTAAGGCCAGTAAGGGGCCACCTACCAGGAGCTTAGTGGTTGATACGAACAATGAATGCCATACCAGTAATTATGAAAGCAGAGCACGGTGTAAACACAACACGGAGAACTGGTCCACCCAGAGTTTCCGGAAGGGAATGTTTTGTTGCAGGCAGCACTGGAGAGGGCAAGACGACAAGTAGCGAGGGCGAAACCAGCGCTGCTGGAGGTCCAAGCCAGAGCACCTGGCTGCTTTGCGGGCAACATACTACTGTATACCATTAGCTGTGTATGTGTGTGTGCGCACGTGTTTGTGTGCACATTTCTGGGTGTGCGTGTGTTTGTGTGTGTGCGCGCGCGTGCATGTGTGCGAGCGTGCATGTGTGCGCGTGTCTGTGTGTGTGGGCGCGTGCATGTGTGCACGTGCGTGTGTATGTGCGTGCATGTGTGTGGGCGCGCGCGTGCATGTGTGTGGGCGCGCGCGTGCATGTGTGTGCGAGCGTGCATGTGTGTGTGCGCGCGCGCGTGCATGTGCGTGCTAGGCGTTTTCCTTTGTTGGTGACACCACCCCAGGCTACTACTGGTGTTGGGGCACGGTGTTGCCACAGCCACTGCGGCCAGTGCGATCCGTGTTTCAGGTCGTTGGTGGGTTTTAGATTCCACAATTGTCGACAAGGTGTGCGCCGTGTGTGTGTGTGTGAAACCCGACAGCATTGGTGTGATGTTGTCCGAAGAGACATCCATCACTTACATCTTGAAGGACATTGGTTCGACACTGCACAGCAGCGAGGAGAGTGGCGCACAGCATTCAGAATTGCTTCACCACCACAGCCGGCCTCCCGTGATCGGATTCAGTGTAGTATTTGTAACATTTCCTTTTCGAAGAGCGGCCTGCCATGCCACAAGTGTACTCAAGAGCGTCGCAAACCTGTAGCAGACCAGTCTGGCAGCAGCCAATGCACCGTATGTCTTCGCTGGTTTCGCAGTCATGGCAGACTGACATAGTCGGATTCGGCAGCTGGTTCATGTGTGTGTGTGCGCACGCACGCGCGCGCGCGTGCCTGGGAGACTGCATAGTCGCATTCGGCAGCTGGTTCATGTGTGTGTGCGCGCACACACGCGTGCGCATAAGCGTGTTTGTGCGCGCGTGCCTGGGAGACTGCATAGTCGGATTCGGCAGCTGGTTCATGTGTGTGCGCACGCGCACGCGTGTTTGTGTGGATTCGGCAGCTGGTTCATGTGTGTGTGTGTGTGTGCGAGCGTGCATGCCTGGGAGACTGTATAGTTGGATTCGGCAGCTGGTTCGTGTGTGTGCGCGTGCCTGGGAGACTGCATAATCGGATTCTTCAGCTGCTTCATGTGTGTGTGCGCACGCGTGTGGGTGCGCGCGCATGCATGTATGTATGTGGCATCATCTTACATCGGTAGTTATCTGTTACTATGTTCTGCGGTGGACTGCGACAGCACACATTATGTGCCAAGATGTACACCTGGTGATTTGCAACTGTGTTATGTTGAGTTGAAAATGAGCAATGACAGATAGCTTTTGGTGCTGTATGAGTGTGTTAGGAAATCAATAGCCAATTCCAACCTCTTGCATTGGCCGTCAGGTTGGATAGGATCAGCGCGTGCATTTACAACAGTGGTGACGTACTTCCTATTGTACTACTGTAATGTCACATTAGCTTCAGTGTTCATATCATTATAATACTGGAGTATTCTACGTATTCACTACTATTCAGTAATCGAGTGGTTATTACTTTTGAAATATACTTCACTCACCAATTCATTGCTCGCTATTATCTACAAGTTCCAGTCCAGTATGATGAAGTCAAGAGGCGATTTATCCAGCCAAGTAGAGGAACTTGGGATACGAAATCCAAGAGAAATCATGAGGGTTTTCTCAGTTCGGCCATTCACGAATGTAATTGTTATTCTTCAACGCAAACTGAGTAATATTTGACCTTGAACAGGATGAACAGAAGTTCATGCTCGGGGCAGTCGTCATTTGCTCCAGAAGGTTACTCACTACAGTCTACTACGCCTATTGGCCTAGGAAGTGGTGAACAAATATGTCGAGAGATATTTAGGACATTCTTGGAAGTCAGTTCTGAACGATTGCATTGTAACTACAAACAGTAGTGACTTTGCAGCTTGCTGCATGCAGTTTGCATCCCGATTCATAATTCTCAGCGGCAAAAAAAATCGAATCTAGTTTTGTGCACTGGTTTCCGCGTTATGTGCACTCGTGGTATCTGCTCATGGCTTCAAAAAATGAGAATCCGTGAACAAGCGCAAAAAGATCAAGCGAAGAAGGCGAAAATGGCCGCTGCTGTCAGTGAGCAAAGTTGGATGTTTGGCGTCTTCTGTGACCTCCCTGGATCAGTTTCGAACTGTCCAACAAGTGGAAATCGCTTCAGGATACCATCGTGAAACGGTGTGCTGAAGGACGATTTGTCCCTCTCTGGGTGCAACGGTCGATGCTAAAACGGCCGATTCTGAGATTTGGCTCACGGACTAGTGTCGAAGGTCCATCGCGCAACTCTGCGTGACCATGAGAGCATTTTGACATACATATTGTGTTGTGGGTTCATGTTTGGATAATTAGAATGTCCGGATAATAAAAAGTTTTTTCCTGGCATTTTAAGGTGCGAATTATCATGATTCCACCTGTACTACAGTCCATTTCAAAACTATAGACGCGTACCTAGGCAAAAACCGTTATGCCAGCATCTATACCACATAAAATCTGTGATCACATTGTGCATAATTTTTTCCAAATTGGGCGTCTGTTATCCAATCCTTTAGAAACTATATGAGAGTAATTGTGGAGCGATCCTGAGCAATATTCCGAAAACTATTCTCAAAAAGTTCCAGCCAAATTTGAAATATTTCAAAAACCCTACGCGTCTATAGTTTTGAAATGCACTGTAGTACCTATGTCGTCCATTTGCTGGTGTGGTGGTTGGGATACACTGGATATACACTAGCTATGCGACTGAGCACCCAACAGTACATGTTGTCTGTTATAGTCAACACTATAAATAAAAATCCAATCCAAAATGTAAAATTTGACCACCTGCAGCAACCAGTGCACATACCGCGGGCATCCCACAGACGAATGGACTTGTCCTCGGAGGCAGAAACGAGTTGATCCGGGTGCTGTGGATTCCAGCAGACCTGATTCACGATGTCCGAATGGTCGCGGTAGAGAGCATCACGACTCTGTATCAAGCATGCATGGGTGCACAAACACACACACACACACACACACACACACACACACACACACACACACCACACACATGCGTGTGCACGCACACACCATGTATCATGTACAGACACACATGCGCACACAATGCACGTACTCACGCACACACCACACACACGCACACGCACGCGCACGCACGCACGCACACACACACACACAAGTAGAATGTATTAAAGGCGTTCTAGTTCACTGATGTCATCGATGACGTCGTGCGATTTAACCTTATTTTTTCCGATTTACTCGTAACTTTTGCGATTTAACCTAAAATTGGAGCGTTCTACAGATGACATCATCGATAACGTAATGCGATTTAACCCTAAAAATCGGGGTGTTTTAACCCTAAATCCGAGCGTTTTACAGGTGACGTAATCGATGACGTCATTGGGTTTAGTAGAAAGCAATGCACCAGTGGTCTTTGAATGCTGTACAGACTAGTAGTAAAGTAAAAAAAAAAAAGTAAATTATCGTATCCGTTCCCAAAGGGAACTCACGACTAGTAGTAGCCAGGCGTATACCGTATATTCCGGGGTATGTTAGCCGCACCGGGGTCTAAGCTGTACCCCCCCCCCCCTCCCTTTCTGGACCCAAGAGTCAGCCGCCGGGGAGATTTAGAGAATTATTTTATGAGTTTCAAAGTGCGGCTAACACACTCGAATATACGGTATACGACTTGCAGTAATGGTGTTGTTCCACTATGACGCACGAACTCGCAGTGCCTTGGAACGACCAAATAGACCTGGTGTGCTGGACTATTTTCTCCGGCTTTATTTATTTATTCAGCTCAATCTCGTAGCATGTGCGTGCACCGCTAATATGGGGAGCAAGCACAGAGATACCCAGCCATGGCAAAAGTACAAAAAATTCTTTGATGCTTGGATGTTGAGTCCACCACTGTAACTAGATACTATATACAGTCAGAAAGTGCAACAACTAGGCACAAAACTGACAGAGTACTGAGTCATTCTGACTGTATATAGTATCTAGTTACAGTGGTGGACAGTTACTCTCAACTCGTATCCATAATGATGTCCTTTTCCTTTCTACAATTCTTTGATGGAGTGTACTTAGTACTTACCACGCCACATGAGTCCCGGTCACAGCTGAACACCGCTACGGTGTAGTCCATAGAGCCGGAGGCCAGGCGACGGCCATCTTTATTCCACGCTACCGAATGCGCCTGTGTATGCAAACAAGAATGGCCAAGCACATGCATATGGATGTACACGCACGCGCACACACACATCCACACACACACACACACACCATGCACACACACACACACACACACACACACACACACACACACACACACACACACGCACACACACACACACACACACCATGCACACACACACACATACACACACACACACACACAAAACACAAAGCACAAGGCAAATCACTATAATCTTCCACACGTGTTACGAGTGTGCTCCCACTTGTTTGAACAAGGATACAGGGCACATAGACCACCCCTACAACATGCAGCAACAAACATATCACAGTATTCTACAGATCCTAAACCCAGATTTGTGATATTTAAAGTGGGTTTTTGATCCTCAATTCGGCCCAAATCCGACTTTCAAAAGCCAGCGGGACAGTTTCCGATGAATGGACTGTAGGGCAGTTGGCAACCTACACTGGCCCAACATCCCCAACACCCAATGAAGTGAAAAAATGGAGCAAATACCTACACATACACGATCCGTTGGATTTCAACTGCTGAGCATTGCTGCATTATTACGGGGACTATGTCTACTGGAAAAAAATATATCTACTGGAGTTTTTTAAAAATCTACTGGAGTAAAGACAAATTCCAAAATCATTATAACCCAGCTCTGCAAAATACTTAAGTATGCTGCGAGATACCCCAGGAAAACGCCACAATTTAATACATGCACGCTGTGGGAATTCACTGTTTATCAGTTCACAGGCGAAGCAAGCTATCTGCCTGCTATAATATTATAGAACATCAGAAAAAAACAGCCATCATCAATCAAATTTCGGAATACAATATCAGTTGAGTTCATGCAGGGAAGGGATACTGGTAATTCAGCCGATATTGCACATTCAAATAAGTTATGAAATAAACCCCAAGGTATGTTCCACTGACACAATGCAGTTTTTTGTTCAATTCATGAAGATATTGGCAACTGAAAAAGGAAAGTGTATGGTCACAACCACAATTCCACGAAAAGTAAAATCAGAAACTGAACTTTAAAACAGCTCGTACCTTCTGCCTGTGGGCCGCAACTTCCTTCAGCCTTGGACTCCGCTGAAAGTGGTGTTTAGCCTCCGTCAAATATGTCGCTGGGTTCGACGATCTACTGGCAATCGCCGCCATTTCCTGTCCTTCTTCTTGGTTTTTCAAGTTCAACCTCTCGCCCAGATTTCGATTCTTTGATCTTTTTTTGGATTCGAAATTTTGCCGAAATCTAGGATGAAATTAAATTTTTGCCATCACGTGCATGATTGACTGAAATACTTTTACTACAATATACATGTATACACAGTGTACGAACTGTATTAATTTTCGTGATACATGATTGTAAATTAGTAGTTATAGTTATAGCTAGCCAGGAAGATTCCCTGATTACTACGAGCAAGAGTATAATGACTCTTGCTACGAGGTATATATAGCAGGACAATTCCCTGATTACAAGGCATCTGCAGGTATGATGATGACAGCGTTATCACAAGGGGCCTTGTGTAAGTAATTGCAAGAGTAAACTTAATAAGCTCCATCATGCCGTTGTGCTATGCTACTAGCAGTATCCGATGACCACCATACATGTAACTGATATTAAAACTATCATTGTATCAAGCAAGGTTTACATTATACCAGCCTGAACCATTACATGGTACAGGTCTGCTCTCGATATAACATATAGGCGACAAGCCTCTGGGTCATCCTAATAAAGATATTATTATTATTATTATAACAACTCTCACTTGTACATAAACCTCGCTAGTACATAAAAAAATCAAATCCCGCGCCGAAACAGCATCACTCCCATACAAATTGTGTTCTACACAACATAATCCTACGAGTACATAACATAAACCTCGACATAACACACGCTACCGCGCGGTCCCCGACGTGCGCACTCTCGATACAACGTAAATTCACGTGCACGGTGCGATCAAGTGGTAGCTGTAGCTAGGCAGTTTAGGCCAGTTTAGTCCTACATAACGTAACCTCGGCACAACGCACGCTATGGTGCAGTCCCCGGCGCGCTCACTCTCGATACAACGGAGATTCACGTGCGCGGTACAATCAAGCTGTAGCCGAAGTTAGCCTTTTTGTAGTCCTATTGACTATTGTGCATGTATTCTGCGGCATTGATGGTATCTGATGTCGATGGTGGTACAGTGTGTATATGTTTGCACGGTTGAACCCGCCTTGTAATACCCTCCATTTCGAGGTACATCTTGTATTTTACACACGGTTTTCTACATAACATAACTCTTGATAATTATAACCTAATTTTTGCGTGGTCCCAGAGATTACGTTATATGGAGAGTAGACCTGTAGTTTGTATGAGGGAGTCGTAAAATACCGGTATTTTACGACTCCCTGGTTTGTATTGTATTAAAAGTACAATCATATCGCGTAGAGTCCTTGAGCAAACCACTGACAACCAAACTGGGAAAAACAAGCACACAGTGGTGTGCTGATAAATCCCATGGCCAAGAGCTCAGTCATGGTTCACAATGACACCGTGATACATTGTACACTGTACATAGCAATCTTGCTCTAGCCAGGCCGGCCCAGCTCTGCGGACCAAACTGACAGCAGCCACGGCAATGCCAATGGTGCAGAATACATACATGTGCGTGCACCCGTACGTCCGCTCACTGTCGCACGGACGCACTACGTGTACCGTACGGTATAGCTGCTTTTCACAGTGACACGCACGACACGGTATTCGCAATGAAACCGTGCGAAGCACATTCAGGTACTGTAATCCGCCCAATATTCGCGTCACTAAATTTCGCGATTTCTTAGAACCAGCAAGTTAGTTGGCGATGGCAAAAGTTCGCGAAGCACCGGGGCTACCTACATACAGTACTGTGTCAGTAGTAGTACAATGTACAGTGCTGGCAACTGAAATCCGACCCCCTTGGCGGAGCGGCGCGCCGCCAAGGGGGTCGGATTTCAGTTGCCAGCACTGTACCAGGCGCGTGCGTTGGTGCCCTTTAAGGGGGGGGGGGTTCCGGGGTGTCCCGATCCCCCGGGGAAATTTTTCAAAAAAATGAAGCAAAATCCTGCATTTTGAGCGAAAAAAGGGGGGGGTTCCGGGCACCCAGAAACCCATACGGGGCACGCGCCTGAGTACATACACCCACTGTTGAAGCTTGATTTCACATTGGTTAACATTCGCCTTACGCTCTTCTCGCGAAAAGAGCGAACTTTAATCTGTCGCGAATATTAGGCAGTTTACAGTTCTACCAAGAGTATATGTATGACAAACAAAACGGTTTATGCACTCTTGGCACTACCGGTACTATCATCAGAAAAAACCCCAAGCAAGAGGTTGTGCTTGAACTGTACTGTACAACATATAGGCAATAGTGAAGGCGAACAGTGCTGTTTCTACTATGCGCACAATGCCAGAACGCACAGCTCACCAAACTCGGGTACACTCGGACTGGCGCACATTTGCATCGCACACTCCATAACCGCAGTGCTATAGTAAACGTGATGTGTGAGAGGTGCGGCTTAGAAGGCGTTTGTCGCAACCTGAATTGTCACCGGCATGGCATTTGTAACCACACTCCCGGACGCACACACCCATGCGTGTACCACATACGAGAAGCGCCGATACGGCAAGTATGAAACGTCATGAATGGCGTACAACGTACAACCAATACGCGTGCCCTGTGGCTAAGCTCTGCCATGGCACACACACGCGCACATACATACACACACACACACACACACACACACACACACACACACACACACACACACACACACACACACACACACACACATATACACACACCGCCAGGCGAGAGAGCGGAAACGAGGAAGCATGATTGCACAAAAGAAGTATTCCAGTGAAAATCTAAATCTGTTGAACCGATAATCCTAGCAAAGAAAACGCCAGACAGCACGCATACTGTGTGCCCCAAACAACTGCTGTACAACGAACACACATTAGGCCAATGGTCGCTGTACGTACAGCGAACTACAGGTAAGAATGTTGCAAAAACTGGTTAAGCATGCAGCGGGCTGTGATGAGTGCCAGGAGATCGGCAGCCCTACACCGAACAGCTCTACACCGAACATGTACATAAACACTGCAAAAGTGCCAGTGATGACGAAACTAGAACGTTCTACAGCACGCACGCTAACACACATATACACAGACGGGGGCGCGTGCGCACACCCACACACACCCACGTAGACACGCGCGCACGCACAAGAACACACTGGGTTGGGGGACTGCAGCGCAGAAAAGGCATGTGATCCAGTTGTCAAAGTGGTTCGGCCACGAGCAGTAACGCAGTGACTCGTTGTCATGCAACGCCATGTTGTCATGGTGACAATACTGGCGGCAGAGCAGGCCAATGCCCACTCCAGTGGACTGCCACGTGAAGTCCACCTGGCTGCTACGGCGGGCGGGATCGTGGGGAGAGAGTGAGAAAACTACCCCGTTAAAAAATCACACTGAACTATGCCTCGCCTCGCTCGTGCGGACTAAATCTCCATGTGCCTGTGATGGGCTAGGTTGAGAATTGTTCAGAAACGACGATAGAGTGATGGCAACGAGCGGGTTTATCTTTTGTAGACACCTACGACGCAGGCACCGCCAAGTCCAAGGTTGTGCTGCAGGCCAACGGTAGCGCCTTCAACTTGTCTGTTCTCCACCTCCTCGTCCTTACGAAGCTGCAAGGAGCAAGTGTGCCACAAACAAAAAAAGACAAAACAAAAGATGGCAAAGAAGCAATTGCAAGATCTCGTCCATCCCAAAAGCATACCAAAGTGAAGCCAAAAGAGCAAAAAAACATTTGACAGCTCTACAGGGACCTCAGGTCAAAAATCACCCAATACCAACATCAACACAATCTCTTATTGGCCACTGGCCATCATGAGAATAAAGAGTTGAAACAGCAGCAGCAGCAGCAGCAACATCACCACCAGCACCAGCAACAACATGTGTATAATGCGCACAGACACAGCAAATTAAACAACAACGGGGCAAGAGCAGCATCACCATCTCCTCCACCAACAAAGACCACAGCAATGTTGAAAAGGAAACACACCCACCCACCCACACACACACACACAAACACACCCACACACAAACACACCCACACACCCACACAACACTACTGACCTGCCAGCAGATCTCCGCACACTGTGCCAAGCCGGTAGCACCAAGAGGATGTCCTTTAGATATGAGACCGCCACTGCAAGACAACGTGTCAGAGCACAATAAAGATGATCATTCAAACATTATGGACATGCGATTACTGATCGAGGTCAGACTTTGGATCAGAAATTTTAACGAAGTGCAAAATGCTCTTTGACTTGCTCATGATAGTCCAAAGACTTATTTCCATAAGTTTGGTGTCTGCCGCACTTTGCATCTAAGTCTCTTCACACGCTCTGGGGTTAGAGACACATTGGTGTATGCTGCAAGCTCCATCCCCCCCCCCCCACCCCCGCTTACATTTGTAGATGGGGGGGGGGGGGGATGTCACATGATTCCAGCATGCATTTTTCAGCGCTAACGTGTACGGGGTTTAAAGCTGCTGGGCGTATCTTTGGCTTATTTTCGAGAATTAAAAGTGCGTCGTTGGGCCTGGAAAAGTGCGTACTGAGTGGACATGAGTGGTAAAGCGTACGCCTAGAGCCAACCTGTGCACTCTGTTGTGAAATGAACTAGTTAACCAAGGGATCAGCTCACAGGAAGATAATAATGTACGGAGCAATACTTCGAAATTAGACTGTGAGCGCAGGTTTCGCTGACGATAACGTGCACAGTACATGTACAGTACAAGCGGCATCAAGAGTACTACGTAACCCTCAAGAGTGTGCAACTGCCTGCACAACCTCTATGCTGTGCTGCGACGGCAGAACTTCACATCGCGTGACATGGTTCAAAAGGTTATGCTGGCAAACAGTGCAAAGTGACCACAAGAGAGTTGTACCCAAAGCTGGGTTGCGTACAACCCTGTATCTATCATGCACAGAGTGCAAATAATGTGTACGGGTTCATCACGTGATGTGAAGTTCTGCCGTCGCATGTAGACCCCATAGCTGGAGTTGCACACTCTTGGGGGTTATGTACTCTTGCCGGCATGGATATTAGGTACAAACACAGTCCTGACCTTGGGTTGACGACCCACTTTCCACCGAACGTAACTTGGCCTTCATCGATCAGTTTACCACCTTCGCCGTCCCCGCACAGACCCTGCATGCATGCAAACACATTCATTGACAGTAAAACAAAAGTAATCGGGGATTAATAGATCACTCAAGATTGAATGTAAGTGAGGAGTACACTACGTCAACAGATCGAGCAGCACCAAGAGTGCGCATGGCCCGAACAAACCACACAAGGAGTTACACACTCTTGTGTATCGTATTTTCCGGAGCAAAAGCTGCACTTTAAACACCAGAAATTCACACAAATAAAGTCGGTGAATAAAGTCGGTGGATAAAGTCGGTGGATAAAGTCGGTGGATAAAGTCGGTGGATAAAGTCGGTGGATAAAGTCGGTGAATAAAGTGGGTGGATAAAGTCGGTGGATAAAGTCGGTGAATAAAGTCGGTGAATAAAGTCGGTGAATAAAGTCGGTGAATAAAGTCGGTGAATAAAGTCGGTGAATAAAGTCGATGGATAAAGTCGGTGAATAAAGTCGGTGAATAAAGTCGGCGAATAAAGTCGGTGAATAAAGTCGGTGAATAAAGTCGGTGGATAAAGTCGGTGGATAAAGTCGGTGCTTAGACTACGATGGTGAAAATAACAGTGATAAACCGGGTAGATAGCGGTTTTCATGACAACAAAATCCGGGTGCGGCTTATACTCCGGAAAGTATGGTACAGTCAGACCTCGCTTATCCGGATCCTCGCCACGCGGAAGAATATTGTTGGTTGCCGATTTACAGCATATGTCATGCATACATACAGGATGTGTATTCTATTAACCGGTTCCCTCGCCTATCCGGATATTTTTTTGTGAAAAGCCGATGTGTGCGGTTAGACTGTAGTTATGTGTTCCGGCATCGTGAACAAGTGTAGCATACGTACCAGCGCTTCATATGTTATCAGCTCATTAGAAGAGAAGCAGTCGTGGAGCTCAACGACCTGTACATCTTCCACCTTGACATCTACCAGGACAGGAATAGGCACAACAGCAGCAGCAGCAACAATAACCAGAATTAGCGATATAGATAAAATACCGTTCTTGGAAATACTGAACCAACCTCACCTACAGATGGGTACAATGACTGTACAATGTTATCGTCATGAGTGCGCATTTGATACTGTATAAGCCGAAATATTCGTCTGGAATTTAATTTCGTCTTTTCGTCCAAGGAGCTTTTCAACGACATAGATTAAATGCCAGACTAATGTCGCTTTATCCAGCTTTTCAATATACTCGTACGGTATGATCCATGGACGAAATTTACAACCGGACGAACTGGAATTGGACGAAATTATTGACCGAGGAAATGTTCTGCCTGTACAGTACCGTTCATGGCTTCATTCACGATAAAATGGTTCATTCACGATAAAATGGTTCATTCACGATAAAATGGTTCATTCACGATAAAATGGTTCATTCACGATAAAATGGTTCATTCACGATAAAATGGTTCATTCACGATAAAATGGTTCATTCACGATAAAATGGTTCATTCACGATAAAATGGTTCATTCACGATAAAATGGTTCATTCACGATAAAATGCTTCATTCACGATAAAATGCTTCATTCACGATAAAATGCTTCATTCACGATAAAATGGTTCATTCACGATAAAATGGTTCGAGACTGGTCTACAGGCCTTACTTGATCAAAGTAGGTTTAGATTTCTGAGGCCAATTCCGCCTATTTCGGATTTTAAAACTTTTATAAAAGCCCATCAGAGTCTTAGGGGCCGTCCAAGGTTACCAATGATATTTTCAAAACGAAAAGATTTCGTTTGGGGTGGGTGAGTTTGATGGAGTTTCGTTTTGAAAATAATTATTGAATGCAGATGGAAAATACCCAGTTACTTTTGGGTGTCGAAAATTGACATCAATATTTTATTGGAATTCGTTTTACCTGCAGAAAAGGTGGGTGGGTGGGTGGGGGCTGAAAATACTAAAACTTTTCGTTTTGTAAAAACAATCGGTAACCCCCGGACGGTCCCTTAAGGCCGATTTACAATACAACTTCTTGCGACGCGACATGCGACTTGCGACACCTGCGACGAGCTGCGACAGCGACACACGGTTCACAATCTTTTTCATGTTTGCGACATCCTCATGCACAAGTAGTACTATACATCCTTATGCACAAGTAGTACTATGCACGTGCACTGCACGTGCACCCAGGGTCGAAACTGTACTCCATTTGTGTATGTCGCGCGTCGCATGTCGCAAAAGTTGAACTTTCTTCAACTTTTGCGACAGGTGCCTTGCGACAGGCAGTTTCTTGTCGCAACTGTCGCAAATCGCGTGTCGCGTCGCAGAAAGTCGTATTGTGAATCGCCCTTAATGATATTGAAAACCATTCAGTGAAGACATGGACAAAACGTACACCTGGTTGCTACACACGGTTTTCGGCCAGCATTGGCAAAGCCCAAACGTGGATCTTACCGGCCTCGGCGAGAGCATCCCGCGTCGCTTTCTGCGTCATGTGATAGCCGCAGATACCTGCAAAAGAGCACAAGTACCAGCACCAGAGCCAACAACAACAATGATGATGATGATGATGATTTATGACCTGATGTTTGTTTTTATATTTGTAGTTCTATTGTTGACATCTTTTGTCTTTTCTTTGGGTTAAAAGGTTAACTTCATCCTCGTTTTCCTATTGCCTTGTATTGGAATTTGCCCATAAAAGTGGCTACGGTGTGATAATGCATTTTAATATTTCGTGTTTTAACATTATTTTCAGAAAATTGCTCTTACAATACCTTGTGTTTTATATTCATAATATTGTTGCCCGTAAAAGCGGCTTGGTCACATGATGATGATGATGATGATGATGATGATGATGATGATGATGATGATGATGATGATGATGATGATGATGATGATGAGGGATCTATACACGAAGCACGCCGTGACTGGTGTGCTCGTGGAATTTAAAGTGAGTAACCTAAGTGTAGGGTAAGTGTACTGTAGGGTGTGTAGGGTGTGTAGGGTGTGTAGGGTGTGTACTATGTAGGGTAAGTGTACTGTAGGGTGTGTACTAGGGTAAGTGTACTGTAGGGTGTGTACTATATTTGTGTACTAGGGTGTGTACTATATTTCCTACAATATCAAGATCAGTATGGAGATATCAGTGCCAATGATGCTGTTTTAACATCAGTTCTTTAAACGTAAGAGTCCTGTACATGAAGATTTGTGTTGTGACTAACACAGGAGATACAACTCTTTTAATTTTGTATATGAATTATTGCCTTTGAAGGACTCCATCTGTTGCTACGAAGTTTTAGCCCCATGCTCCCCAGCGCTTTTTAGCGCCCGACGACAATTACCAAATATCATCGATTTCCCATATGGATCAAAGGATAGTCTCCTGAATCTTCTCCAGTCGAGCTGAGTCTGGACGCTACAATGTCGAGACGCGAAAAGAGAAAATGCAGGAACACACAGGAGCATCACATGCAGCTGCATTCTGCCTCGAAGAAAAGCACAACACCAGCACCACGCATTTGGAAGACATTTGGAAGAAGACGAGGAACTACATACAGTCAAATCTGCCGTTAGCGACCTCTCCTGTAGGCGACCATCTACCGTTAGCGACCGATTTTCCGTGCACCGACGGTTTCACATACAAACTGATCTGTCCAGAGCGACCATCTGCTGTGCGCGACCAGCGACCGCGATTTCATGCACGGTGGCTGCATTCAAATCTGCTGTAAGCGACCGCGACCCAGGTTCAGGTGCGAAACTGTACTTGCCAGTGCGCTGTAAACTGCAAAGTGTGAAAATGCGCTGTCTTGCAAGTGCGATCGACTGGCGCCTGGCCTGTAGGCTGTACTGAGGCTGTGCTGTAGCTCTCAAGTCCAGGCGCTAGGCAGTGTCGATCTACTGCCGTGTCGCATACGCGTAATACGGGTATGGTCGTCGTTGAATATCCAATAAAATGATATTAAAAATCACATTATTCTCGTCGATTTAAGTACATGGAAGCATATACCTGGTATGCCGGATTTACCATACATCTGCCGTAAGAGACCATCTGCCGTAAGCGACCGCTTTTTCTTGCACCAAGGGGCGGTCGCTTACAACAGATTTGACTGTATCTGCGTTCGAAAAAGCCTCTGTACTGTGCAGTATGCATGCGTGCACGGGGTCCGCAGATCAACTTCGTTCAAAAATCATTGTGCCGCACGGGTTGTATCATTTGTGTGCGATCATGGCCTTTCTTCTTTCGATCTTCAAATCGCCATAGCGTCCTTGTCATGACTCCAAATCAGCTGAAACTTTGCAGGAGGCATGGAAATGCCATGCTGAATCGATTGGTATCATTTTCGAAGGGTTTCCTTGAAAAATAAAATTTAGCCTGCACTGGCTACAATCTGACTACGAGCGAATGGTAAGTTTTGTAACATATGGCCATATCTATTCTAGAAACGGTCATGAACTTAGAATGTGCTCTATTCTATTTATATATTGTTGTTTCTCAATCTGTATATTGTTGTTTCAATAGATTTACAGTAACTCTAACTCTAACCCTAAAACCTAACCCTAACCCTAACCCAAACTCTAACCCTTAATCACACAGTGACGTCATCTCTATCAGGCACAATGGCGCACGTATCACCTCTCCCCCTCTCTCTCTCTCTCTGCATATTCCATTCTGCCATGGTTGGGTCTCACCCTTCATCTCAACTGATTAATTGGCCATCTTTTGATGTGCCAGGAGATGTCGAAATAGATTCTGGGTTGGAGGGAAGTTCACTGAGCAATACAATCTTTCCATTTTCTTTCTTCTGTTTTCCTTTTCAATTTAATCCTCCCTACCCAACATCCCTTTGGTGCGTCCATGGAGCTATGAAGCCGAGACCTCTGGTCGGCGGAGCTTAATGGGCCCCACCACCACACTCTATCAGTCACCCCAGTGTCTGGAGATATGTGGATTTTGTAGAAAAAAAAGAAAAAAAAGAAAACTAACACATGAAGCACAAACGCCATGCTGTATGAGCAGAAATATTCGTCTGGAATTTAACTTCGCCTTTTTCGTCCAAGGAGCTTTTGTACTAAAAATTAAATGCCGGACTAATGTCGATTCGCCCAGCTTTTCAATACACTCTTGTGATCCGTGGACGAAATTTTCAACCGGACGAACTCCCTTTCTTTGGAGTTGGACGAAGTTATTGACCAACGAAATGTTCTGCCTGTACAGCATTATAGTTTCGGCCAAGCTGCGGCGACAATCACCATTGTATTCGACTTGAAAGGCAATGGAACGAAAGGACTACAGTCAACTTCGCTAATAACGACTGCGGATATAACGACAATTTGCGAATAACGACGGAATTTCCATGCCCAGAGCAAAGTCCCATCTAACTGTAATACATATAATGAGACTTCGGGTATAAGGACACTTCGCGAATAAGGACACTTTTCTGATGCCCCGCCAGGTGTCGTTATAAGCGAAGTTGACTGTAGTTGAAACTATATCATATGGCTTCTGTGCTCCGTGTGTTAGATGTTGTCTAAATAATACCAATACGGTCAGACCTCGCTTAACCGCACACATCCGTTTTCCACAAAAAAATGTGTCCGGATAGGCAAGCGAACCGGATAATCAAACACACATACTGTATGTTGTACCGGTATGTTTGCATGACATCAAGAGTACATAAACCAGAGTGTGCAACTGTGCATATCAGAGTTGAAACAGCGCAGTTCGTGCACTACGTCACCCTGATGAGGTCAGCCAAGCCGCGACTTGCGTACAGCTCAAATTTTAAAGTTTCATACCCCGGAAATCAACCAAGTTTGCTTGATTTTAGACGTCCTGTTTCAGGATTTCGGTATTTTGTGTGCCTGTGTACCTGTGTACCTTTTGTGTGCCTGTGTTTCAGGATTTCGGTATTTTGTGTGCCTGTGTACGCTGCGTACATCCACCGACAAGTAAAGTCACCAGGCTATCCGTATCAAAAAACCGAAATCAGGACAAACTCAGTGACCTGCACCACCGCGACTGGTTACGCAACTTGTCACCGTTCCTGTGGCTTACCATGCCGTCAGAAATGATGTACTGCACGAATTACGCTCCCACAGGAACCATCCCGAGTTGCACATTCTGGTTTATGTACTCTTGATGGCATCATTAAGGTGTTAATAGGTAACCAACAATGTTCGTCCGGATGGCGAGAGATCTGGATATAAGAGGACTGGATAAAGGAGGTCTGACTGTAATCACAGGGCCAGGGCTGAATTGAATTGTACTTGCCTGATGCACTCTCGAAGGATTTCGTCACGTCCGTTGCCATCTTCATGGCGGAGATTTCGACTGCCGTGTCTTCGAGGTTATGTGCTTTGACGAAGTCCTGCAGTGACAGAGAGGAGAGGCCGAGCCAAAGTTGACATGGTCAATGGAGTGCAAGTTGTAAGGACGCGTGGAGGACGACGAGGGGATTACTTCTACGGAAGTAAAAGCAGGCGCCACAATCAGCCTTGTGAATATTCTCCCGGGGAACAACAACAACTCGTGAATAACGACACAATTTTCAGACCTGTTAAGCATCTGATTGCATAATTTCAAACTCACACATAACGACTACTCTCGAATGACGACACTGTCATGTCCAATCGAGGGTTGTTATTTGCAAGGTTGGCTGTACCCGTGGGTGCAATCGTGCTAGTTATGCTCCATGTGCATGAGAGGGAGATTGAGATTGATGACACATAGATCAAATATACAACACACACACACACACACACACAGAAAGAGAGAGAGAGAGAGAGAGAGAGAGAGAGAGAGAGAGAGAGAGAGAGAGAGAGAGAGAGAGAGAAGAAGAGAAGAAGAGAAGAAGAGAAAGGAAAACAAAGAGAGACACACAGCAAGCCCACACGGACAGACCCAGACCCAGACACGCAGACAGACACACCACACAACAAGAGAGAGAGCATAGAAGGACCAACCCTCTCCAGACACCAGAGCACACAAATACAGGCATTGCTGTATATAGCAACTCACCTTACTACACACAATGGCTGCAGCTGCACCATCAGATGTAGGGCTACATTGTAGTTTCTACACACACAACACAACACATATCGCACAACACATATCACACAACACATAACACAAAACACAACACATGGAACTAACACATGGAACTAACTACTCACTTCATACAGTGTCCACACTGAAAGCAAGTACTAGTGCATGTACTAAGGTGATGCAATCGGTACCGATTACGTCATCATTCGAGTTCTCTGTATGCAATATCATACACTGAAGATATTGGCTTGCCAGTTGCCACTCGGTACAAAACCCTGAGCATGTCGACGACTATCATTCTCCTGACCTGCACACTGTACAGCTGTAACAGGAAATATGCCAATGATGCTCTTTACGGGAACCACAACATGGCTACCGAACTACACACATACACACAGCGTGGTGTTGTTCTTTTCCCGCATGCTCACTGACTCTCATCAGAGAGCATGCACAAGCACACACGCATTCTGAGCCGGATACCCTGCTCTACACAGGCCAGGCGGAACCGGTCGGTCAGGCCATTGCCGGAACAACTCTTTGGCCATGGTTTACTGTTGAGGATGTCACGTGTGCTTGCCATACTCATACACTGAGTATGAAAGCGACTATGGCATGGCCGGAACGATCAAAAACCGCTTCCGCTGTTCCTCAATTACAAGCATGGACAGGTACACACAAACAGACACACAGACATACATACACACAGAAACATACACACACAGACATACAGACACACACAGACATACAGACAAACAGAAACAGACACACAGTGCCAAGGGCTTCGCATTTCTCGCTTACCGTGAGCGGGTCGAAGATCTCCTTGGACTCCATGATCTCCTCCAGGGTGTAGACCTTCTGGAACTGAGCACGGGGATTATTCGCTGAGTGTCTGTGATTCTTTTCGGCTACACGTGCAAACTGCTCTTTCGTAGTGCCATACCTGAACAAGAGAACGGACCAAACATGGGATGGTCGCACAAAGTCAGAAATTTAGTCTTTACTGTGACTCCAGAGTTATACACATGTAGTCGTAGACTACCATCGGATAGAGAATACGGCCAAACGTTAGTTACTATGTCACTGCCATCGGATAGAGAATACGGCCAAACGTTAGTTACTATGTCACTGCCATCGGATAGAGAATACGGCCTAACGCTAGTTACTATGTCACTGCCATTGGATAGAGAATACGGCCAAACGTTAGTTACTATGTCACTGCCACGTGTTGTCTCGCTGCACTCTTGCTCAGAGGACCCGGAAGACCAGTGACAGTGGTGATACAAACGCACACATACAGACACACAGACACACAGACACACACAGACAGACAGACACACAGGCATACAGACATACACACACACATGCAGGCACACAAAGATACACACGCACACGCGCACACACACACACACACACACACATGCAGATATACACACACACACACACGTACTGTTTCATATGTTCTCTGGCAGCGAGACCGAACATCCACGGCGTTACTGGGGTAATGGGTGAACCACCAAAGTTTGCTAATGACGAGATGTGCACACCTGGGAAAAACGACAGCAACATGACGCAACAATCACACAAAGAGGAAGTCAAAGTAAATAGAGCATTTGTGGCGCAGCCAAACAGCATCAGCGGCAGCATAATCATCAGCAGCAGCATCATCAACACCACTACCACCAGCGGCGGCAGCAGCAGCAGCAGCATCACCACCATCATCATCATCAGCAGCAGCAGCAGCAGCATTAGTAGCATTAGGAACATGGTAACATCAGGAGCAGCAGCAATGGTGACAGTAGCATTAGCATCCGCATCAGCAGCTCATCAACACACACACACACACACACACACACACACACACACATGCGCGCGCGCACACACACACCAAAGACGCACACACGCACACACACACACACACACACACACACACACACACACGCACACACACACACACGCACAGCACCAGCACCAGCACTTACCAAGAGGATTTACACCATTACTTTCCATCTGTAGAGCTCCTTTCTGCATTTTCTCAAAACCGAGCGCCATTACACATTCGGCCTGGCCACCGACCACCAGCTGTTGTGCGAGATATAACGCCGTTGAACCTGTAGAATGTAGAACAAGGGAATGTCGCAACTCGTGTTACAGTAGAACTACGATGCGACGTACCCCACGGACAGTAGGAAAGTGTACGTAGTATCCGAGGCGCAGTCCTGCTCAATGAAATCCAGTCGCGGCACTCAAATATGCGCCTTGCAGCATTTCGCATCCCAGTGTTGGCAGGTCTAGGGCTGTGCAACGCCCGGCGCATACATGAGTGCATAGACTGGATTTCATTGAGCAGGACTGTACTACTTTGATCGTGTAATACGTGCTGATCATTTACGTGAATGTGAGCTCATTCAGCCAAGTACATGTACGTCGATGTGCTAAAAAATTCAAAAAGAAACATACACCGCATGCACTGACGGGCTTTTGGTCCCTCTTTGAAGAATGTACTCGCAATATGTAGACACACATAGAACCCCACCCACGCCATGCGCATCCACCCCCCCCCCCCCCCCCCCCCAAACACCCACACCCACCCACACCCACCCACACCCACCCACACCCACACACACACACACACATCATGCGCACCCACCCATCCACACACACACAATCATTACCTGTGGCACAGTTGTTGTTAGTATTGTAGACGGGAATTCCGGTCATGCCAAGCTCATACACGGCACGCTGACCTTTCGTTGATTCACCAAACACGTAACCTGTCACCTATGCATGAAAACGCACAAACACACGTACACACACATACACATGCGGTCATGTACACACGGCGATAACAACAGCAACCATTGTGTGTGTGTGGGGGGGGGGGGGGATACTTGCTACCAACAGCAGCAGCAGAAACAATAGCACCAGCATCAACAACAGCAGAGGAGCCTCTACGACCAGCATCTCCAGCAGAGAGAGAGAGAGAGAGAGAGAGAGAGAGAGAGAGAGAGAGAGAGAGAGAGAGAGAGAGAGAGAGAGAGAGAGAGAGAGAGAGAGAGAGAGAGAGAGAGAGAGAGAGAGAGAGACAGAAAGCACGCACATGCATGCATGACATAAAGAGACAGAGAGCGAGACAAGCAGACAGACAGACCGATAGCTAGCGAATTCAGTTAGCTGACGGCTGACTGTAACACATGTCCTGGTGGCATTGTCTTAAGCCCTACACTTACTGCCTGCTGTACTTGCTCAAACTCCAGACCAGCATCGAGCAAGGCATCGCGACCAGCCTCCTTGGCTAGCTGCGGATACTCCTTTCCATCTTCTCTCGGCTATGCAACACACAAACAGCAGACACAAACACAAACAGAGCAACGGTATTGCATTGTACTCTGAACAGCAACCAAACAGCAGACACGAACACAACAACAGAAATGCACGGTACAATGCACAGCAGGCAAACATAAAGCATTGCACTGTCAGGGGCGGATCCAGGATTTGTCCAAGGGGGGTTCAATTTTTCCCACCCTACCCACAATGACGAAATGACGACATACACATGTATAACAAGTTCACACGTCCGCGTTATCGGTACAGCACTAATTAACAATGTAACTTCAGTACCCTTATTTTCAACACTCTGCAGCTAAAACATTATTGAAGACACACAGCACAAGGAAGAAAATTTCAATTTCTTTGCCGCAGAATGGCTGATTGGTACATTCTCCAGCAGCTCGTCTGTAATAATTGTCCATAATATTGTACTCCGAGCCGCCCGATGTTGACTCTACTGTACAGTAGGTTCCATAAGGCAGGCTTCCTGCATCTTTTGTGTCTCAGTCATAATTGTCCCCAGTTCGGAAAAATTTTGATTATTGGATGATGGGACGTTGTTGAACTTGAAGATGATTTTCAAAGTTTCGCTCTTTGTTTTACCTTCGACACTAGTGGCTAAACTTTTCTTTGGAGTGTCACCAAAATTCAATGGCAGCTGGTCTTCAGCCTGCCTCTTTCAGACGCTTCGACGAACTCTAAGACAGCTCAAAAAGCACGAGCCGTGATTACAATACAGCACTGCACGGCCACTATTCAGAAACTAGTATTTGAAGCTTACTTTCGAAGTTTCCGCAGCAGCTCAACAAATGCATGCACCTCTTTCTCCGAAGCGAACGCGTAGCTGTACATTCTGTGCAGATCTACAATGTACTTTACTTTTCTACATACAAGACAACAACGTCATGACATCTAGCATGGGCTTAGGTGCATAGCTAGCGGACCGCTCTGGCCTGGGCTGACTAGACTGGGCCATAGCATGGGGCACGCGACGCATGAGCATGGCTTAGTAATACTACTAATAGTGGTCACACCCGAACTATGGAGTATGGTCGGAATAATCAGGGGGGTTCGTTCGAACCCCCCGAACCCCCACTGGATCCGCCCCTGACTGTATACTACCGTACTGGCAATATATGTTGCCGCGTAACGCGTAACGCAGGGGGGTGCGGCGTAACGCGCGACCAGGCTAGTGCGACAAATTTTCGTTGAGTTCGTAACGCGCGTCCGGCGGGGTGCGGCGATCTTTTCATTGCAGTTTGCACTGCAAAAAAAGGCTGAAAATTGTGAAAGCACGTGTACCGCGTGGTGAAAAGTAGTTTTTGGAGGAAGCGCTCTTCCCCTATGTCACTTTCCTTTTGATGATCTTTTTGTGAACAGATCACTCTGATAGTTAAAATATACAGTCTTCTATTGATATCGTTGTCGCCCTTTGCCGTCGGGTTTGTAACAGTTGGATAGCAACTGAATTTCTGTGCCTTCAATGTGGATGAAAAGAAAAAATGATGCGGCAAAAGCAAAAAAATGATGCGGCAATACCAAAAAAAGTGATGCGGCAATAGCAAAAAAAGGACTGCGGCAATATAGAAACCTGTGTAACGGCTCCTGTGCGACTTTGCATGTAACGCCCTGCGTGCGGCAAACATGTGCCAATGTAACGCTTCATGGCCTCACTGCGGCAACATATATTGCCAGTACGGTACATAAGAATCGACATATAGCGGAAGTAACGCTAGTCATCAGCTGGTACATGTAACAGGCAATTTCTAACCTTACTCTAACAGACTTGTATTGGGGCATTGGGAGTATAGACATGAAAGTGTGAGATGATGCAGTGTAAGAGCTTCAAGTAAGTGTGAGGAGATGACAGGAGTGGGTGAGGGGAAGCCAAACCCAGCTCAGACACAACAATCCTGTAGCTACCATGAACCAGGGTCCACTGCCACCAGCAAAGGCCATTTGACGTGAGGTCGTACCGTTGCAGCGCCCATAGACTGCAGTTCAACATCTTGCACGGGAGAGGGGGGGGGGGGGGGGGGGGGGGCATCCAGCCCTTCAAATTACAGAAACGTGTTTACAGAGTTTCGATCTGTATGCGGTTGGCCTTGCCCCGAAAAACTTCTAAAGCGGGATTCACAGAAGCTTTTTTGCGATGCGACACGCGATGCGACAGACGCGAAACCGGGAAAACCCCAAATCGCAGCCTTGTCGCACCCCACGCAACTGCCGCAACTGGGCCATCGCAGGCCATCGCAGAAGTTGAGCTTGGCTCAACTTTTGCGATGCGATGCGATGCGACAAGCGATTTGGTGTACGATTTTGACCTTTTCTACAGCAAAGTTGTACAAAGGTGCAAGAGTTGCCTATAAATTTTTACAAGTTATGACAAACCGCGCGAATGTCATGGTGACGTACCCAAATCAGCAAAACTTTGTCGCATCCCTGACTTCTTCTGTGAATGGTATTTCGCGAGTTCGCATCGCACGCATCCATCGCAGATCGCGTCGCATCGCGTGTCGCATCGCAAAAAAGCTTCTGTGTATCCCGCTTAAGTGTTCATGATTTCACAGCAGAGAGACCATTCAGTCACTGTATTGAAGAACTACTTCAAGCGATCTAACGTGCACGTGACTGTGCAGGAGTGCGAGAGTTCCGAGCTACATCAATATAGCCTTACCTTTTCAAACTGGATGCGATGCATATACGGTCATAGGTGATAGGACAGGCACCAATAAAACACACACACACGTATAAACACATGCATGCACAAACACGCACACACACACACACACACACACACACACACACACACACACACACACACACACACACACACACACACACACACACACACACATGTATACGCCCGTCACACACACACACACACACACACACACACACACACACACACACACACACACACACACACGCACACGCACACGCACACACACACACACACACAAACACACCCCACACATGCACACACGCGCAAAACACTGAGATATGAAACAAAGTACTAACAGGTTCATCCATTTATACAACAACAGCCACTAGCCATCCGCAGTGCGCTCTTAGGTCCATACAACAGCAACCACGGCGAGTGCCGCACCAAAACACACACATACACACACACACACATCAGCACCAATACCACCACCACACATCCAGTATCCATTGAGTGCGACCAACGAAATCCTACCCGCGGCTTGACCGCGTACAAAATTAAAAGGCATGTTGGATAGTTTGTGTGTACAGAAACAATATGCATACTTCGACAAGTACAAACGGTTGGAAGATGCAAGCAATGACATTTTTAACGGAAATATTTCGCCTGGATTTCGAACACTGTCAAGTAAGTTGAACTAACAGAACCATTGTGTGTTAGCCATGGAGTTTTTAGAGTGCAGTGTAAGGTAGAAATGTAGAGCCATGGGACAGGGCAACCAACAATCCAGGACATCACATGCAGTCATGGCCACTGGACAGCAGGAATAACAGACCTGCTTTATTTTATTTTTTTAGTCCTCAATTTTAATTTCCAACGAAAGACAACTACAACGAATCCCAGTGAATACTGCACTTGTATTAGCCAAGAATTATAAGTGTGCTATCAATGTGCCTTTCTTAGTCTGATCACATCATTATGATGCTGTTCTTGTATGGAAATTTCAAATGAGTATTCAATGCCATGAATTTGCATGCAATGATGGTTGATGCTTTTCAAATAAGGATACGTTCAAGAAGTAAATGCAGAAATTCTTTCTTCCATGGATCAACGAGACTGTCTTCTACTTTCAGAAGAGTGCACAAACGTCGTCACATACCTTCGTCATTCCAACCCCAACAATGTATGCTGGTGACTTTTTCCTGGAACTCATTATCGCCATCCCTCTGCTAAACATGGCCTGAGGCAGGCTAGCACTCCTGGAAGCAAGCATGCTTGCAGGTTTTTCGCCTCCTCACCGAGGCGTTTGTCTCTACAACTAACAAGCCACACACTTGGCCTACTCGGGAGCGTTCCGGCGTGTCTCCAACAACGTCGTCAAACAAACAATCTTGTCACTTTTTCCAGTGCCTGAAGAACCCGAATCACGTTCATCAGGATCAAACGCAACCTCTTCAAAGTTTCCACCAGGTTGCGCAACGGTTTTCATACATCATCTCACTGAAACCAGCACGCGGCCGAGGGTCTTCTTTGGGAACAGCCAGGAATCCACGGAAAATCTGCTCAAAGAATGAGATTCGTACCGAATTTTGAAACTCAGAGGAACTGCAGGGACAGTCCCGATTTGCTTCGCTCTGTGACGTCATTCGACTCAGCTCAGCGCAGCGCTAGCACAGTAGCAGCAGTGCAGTAGCAGTAGCACAAGCCAAAAACCAGAAGTAGATAAAAAAAATTAAATGTACGAGTACATGTACATGTACATTGTATTTACTCCATGCAATGATCCAATAGACATCATACGAGTGAAGCTGTTCCCTTTTCATTCCCTCAAATAATTGATGGAAAGTGCTGGCAAGGCCTGCATTTACAGCCATTTCACCAGGCGTGTGTGTGTGTCACTGTTTAGAGGGTTTATCCCCCCCCCCCGGGCCCCCCAGAGCTTTCCCAGGCCTGCAAAGACGGTAAACAGAAAGGAAACTATGCTTTCAAAGCCCCCCCCCTCCCCCCGGTTTTCTTCTTCTTCGGGTACTAGAAGATGAATTTCACACTACCAAACCAGGTTTTAATAATTATTACATAGATTTCAAATCCTGACCAGGGAATGGGAGAGCACAGTAGTGCCAAATACATTCAAATATATATTTGACGACTCCTATCCCTGATTGTGACTGTCACGTCAACGTTGTTTCTGAGAGATAAATTCAAATTTAATATCGGTTCAGGAAAGCTCAGTGAGATTTCAATACTAGTAGTATGCAAAACAAAACTAATTCTTGACTCATCACAAGGTACTAGGTGCTTGACGATTAGCTGCCATGTACGGGAAAGGATGATTTGGGATTAGGCTATTACGACTCCCCGCATGATGTGTGAGCGCAATTAAGAGTTAGGCCCTCTTCAGACTAGGTACAAAACAGCCTATAAGTCACATTTACATAGAAGTTTCCAGGACAACAACAAGAATCTGGCGGGAAGCCTAAAAAGCTGCCCAATCCTTTCAGGCAGGGTGCCAACCCTTGTACATAGTATTGAAATCTCAGCATCACCCAGCATGATTTAGCTTACAAGCTTACAGCATGTGCATAACCAAAGCCAAGAGTACTCTCACAAAACTGCACTATTCTCAGGGTGCGAAGACTCCATTCAAGGCAATTCATTTGTGTGTCAAATACCAACACTACATTGAAATTCGTGTCTGAACTGCATTAGAAATAGAAAACCGAATCAACCAAAATGTTGACCCTGGGCCATGTCTAAGAGATGTAACGTACTGGAAGAAATTAGAACTATCATGTAGCTTGATGATGAGTACAAACTATAATACCAGCACAGGCCAGCCTAACACACTCACGGGGAAAGAAAGTAGACGCCAGCCAAACACATTCGGCAAAGGCAGGGAGAGAGAGAGAGAGAGAGAGAGAGAGAGAGAGAGAGAGAGAGAGAGAGAAAACGGTGGACGGTCTAGCCCTATCGGCCTCGGCCCCGTCCTCGCCCTCGGCCCCTTCCTTTCGTATCGCCTTTGCCTCTGCCCTTCGATCGCTGGTCGAAGGCACGCTTGACAAGCTTAGCTGAGGGAGCCTGGGAAGCCTCATCGTCATCATCGCGCTCCCTCTTCTTTGACTCAAACTCCTTCACCTCCTACAGACGGGAGCAGAGAAAAAGAGACAGAGAGGTCATGGGACCAGGATTGAATGCTTGAAGCTAGTAGGCGTGAGCAACAGGGTATACTGTAAAACATGTAATTTTAGGTGCATCATAATTTCGGTGGCAGAGACCTGCCAGGTTTCAGGTGCAATGTAGAATTAGGTGACCAGGGTTCCCGTCACATACAGTGCATACTCTAGTGCCTTTAAAGTGTACAGTCGAGCACCAAGGGACCGGCGGTATTTGTTCGCAATAACGGGAGTTCTTCTTATCCATATGTTTTGCCCAGTGAATACACAGTGATGAATCCAATGGCGCTTGAATTCTAGTTCTTAGGTTTCACTGTAATTTTTAATAAAATTTAGGTGCCTGGTTTCTCTACCGAAATCACCGGAATTAAAGTTACACCGAAAATCACATGTTTTACAGTACCCCTAAGAGGATGCAACTGCGGTCTATAGAGGTGTGCGGCAGCGGAAAGTCAAGCCAGCAGACACATCCGTTCACAAGCCTGCACCGGTTTTTATTTTATTTTAGCTACCGTGATGTACGCAAATCAGCCGTGGGTACAGCTCTGGGCTAATCTGTTTCCCCTGTACAGGCAGGTCTTTGAACCACGTGGCAAGATGAACATCGTGCTACTGTAGCTCTAGGTAGAGTAATGAGGGCCGTTACACAATCTTAGGGCGTATGTACTCTTCGTTTCACACACACACACACACACACACACACACACACACACACACACACACACACACACACATTACTACTACTATTGACAGCTGCCAGGATTGGCCACGCCGCTCCCAGATGGGAGGTACCGTCAGAGAGGTTAGGGGGGGGGGGGGGGGGGAGGAGGGAGGCAATGTTCCAAGTGGCGATCCAGATCTTGCCGCCTCCGGAACCGTCGGTTGTGGCAAACTTGGCAGTGAAACTTGAATTGTTGGCGTTCAGCCACAGTAGGGCGCTTTGGACAGGTTCCACAACGGTGAGACCCGCAGCCGATTTAAATGAACGCTGACACACACACACACACACACACACACACACACACACACACATCTACAGTGTAGATGTATAGTGTGCTCGTATACTGGAGTATGGGTGTTGTAACTCTGCATGTTAGTGTCGCATATCACAAGACTTCGTAGTGAAAGTCCACGTCCCAGCCACTGGCCAAAATTACTGTGGAACTCCCTACTACTCCTACCCCTGGAAGCAAGTATGCTCTGAACATGGCAAACAGGACGACATGATCACACGGCCATGACCAAACTAATACATGTACTGACAATACACATACCATAGTGTCTTGTATATTGAAAAGCATGTCTCATTATAGAAGCCTGTTTTGAATACAAGCCTGCTTTTCAAGATACACTGTCGGCACACAAGCCTGGCTTTAGGGTTTACATACATGTACAGGGATGAATTTATTCTGTATCGCATCGCAGTTTGCGATGCAAAATCGATCTATTGCTACTCAAAAGTCACCGTGACTCGCGGAAAATTGCGATACATACAGGCTATCCATGCCTAGCCTGCGCCGTCAAGTAACATGCATATTGTGCAGTGTATGTGGTGCAGGGTATAATCTGCGTGCACATGTATGCTTCAGTCGTTTTCTGCAAATGGGTTTCAGGCATCACTCTCAAGAAGGACAATGTGGTAAACACCCAACCTTCAAAGAAAAATGCTAATCAAAATCAAAGACTGCTACACAATTGTGATTTCGTATAGCAGAAACAGCTATGCAAAAATATGACAGTATGCAGTATTCCAGCATACAGAATCACAGAGAACAGTACACTGTGCTAGAAGCAGCCAAAGAAAGATCCTCACCGTGCGCGCTATCCTCTGAGCTTCCATCACGCGCTCCTGCATCAGCAGCACTTCGGCTTCCTGGGTCGGGTAGGCGTCCATTTTCTTGCCAATCAGCTCCTCGATGCGCTTGAACAGTTCCACGCCGTACTGGGAGACAAAGTTGATAGCGCGACCGGCACGACCAGCACGGGCTGTTCTACCCACACGATGAATATAGTCCTGTGCACAGGATAAAAACAACAAAGCCCGCTTGGTTGGCTAGAGTCCATTTCAAAAATATACTGTAGAGGCAGAAAATTTCGTCGGTCAATAATTTCGTCCAACTCCAAAGAAAAGGAGTTCGTCCGGTTGAAAATTACGTCCATAGATCATAAGAGTGTATAGAAACGCTGGACAAATCGATATTCGTCCTACATTTAATTTAGTCCAAAAGCTCCTTGGACGAAAAAGACGAAATTTAATTCCAGACGAATATTTCTGCTTATACAGTAGACGCATGGTATTTTTGGAATATTTCAAATTTGGCTGGAGCTTCTTGAGAATGTTTTCCGGAATATTGCTCAGGTCCTTTCCCCAATTACACTCATACAGATTTTTAATTTTAAGCGATCAGATAACAAATGCCCAATTTGGAAATTTTTGTGCTCAAAGTGATCACAGATTTCATGTGGTATAGATGCTGGCCTAGCGGTTTTTTTCGAAATCACGCGTCTATACTTTTCAAACGCACTGTAGGTTGCCTGTTACATACGAGTTACGAAAACAAACAAACAGCAGTTCTCTATGGCACTTGTCCGCATACATGACTTTTTGCTAAAAAAATGAGAATGAGGACAAAACAAGATGGGGGTACACAGAAGAAAAACTGAAGCGAACGATGGATTGATTCAGAAGAGCAACGATCAGTACAGGCTTGAATGATAGAGAATGTAGTTGTAGGGGTGTAACCGTAGTTTTAACTTTTAAGGCCATCGAATGGCCTATCGACGTATCCTTCATGACAGCGCTCAGCAAGCTTTTTTAGCATGCGATTCGGCCACATTTCGCACAATCTTGACAAAATCCGCAATCAAAGGATGCTGGTTGCCAGAACGGTATAGGCAAGTAGACATGGATACAGTTAGCGAAAGGTAGAACATTTCACATGTGGTACAGCAGCTCGCAGTAGTACAGCATACCTTGGAGTGGGTTGGCATGTCGAAGTTGATGACAACGTCGACGTGTGGAATGTCCAGACCACTGCACAGGAGACACACACAGACACACACACAGACACACACAGTCCATTTGCTACAATTCAGCAGTTCATTACGACCAGTAGCGTAAAATCCCGCCAGAGCGCCCCGTCTCTCCCATGCGCCCCTCCCTGACTTCTTGTATCATCGTATGACTCTGTGAAGTGCGATGCCGTACTGCACTGCAAACGCGTGCTCGACCTGGTTGGAAATGTACGCAACAGTTCACACCCTCTTGACCAGGGATCGGACAAACTCTGGGTTTTGACGCGTTTGTACGACTTCTGCTCTTGACCTTTGGTCGGTGTACGAGATGCACGCATACATTTTGTAGGATGAGAACTTGTTCATGTAGTACTGAATGCAGCCAGTAGGACTCGCCCATCTGCCCCTCCCCACCTGGACCTGCTAGAAGGGTCGCGGAGGTAGGGTCACTCTGGTGGGATTTTACAGTACTGTACAGGAAGAAAGTTTGGTCGGTGAGTAGTTTCGTCCAACTCCAAAGAAAGGGAGTTTGTCTAGCTGCAAAATTTAGTTCATGGACCATAAAACCATATTGAAAAGCTGGCCGAATCGACGTACCATGCGAGATTTGGTAATTTGTTAAGGCTGCCATCACCCCACGGTACAAAGCACTGCGTCTACGTCCACGTAAGGAGTTTTTGTTCAGTTGTCATGATGATGATATGGGCTGAACACGGGAGCAGAGGAAACGTAGACGTGGTGGTGGTATACGACGTTTTGGATGAACGTGCGTATCTCCCCCAGCCTTTTCTCCAAGCGACCTTTTACATGCGGTTGAATTATCAAATTTCTTCAAAAACGTGACTGCGTGTAAGCGTCAAGAAGTTAGAACTGTGCCTGTCTGATGACACGACCACCCGTTTTGGTCTTTTCACCGTAGATGTAGACGTAAACGGGAGTCGGAGAACGTAGTGTGATGACGGCCCAACTAGCACCGGCGGCCATAAGTGCACACACTCTTACGAAATACATGTACAGTGAAAGCTGTCTAAGACGACCGCTCAAGGGACCTTCAAAATGCGGTCTCTGTTTTTCCAGGTGGTCTCCTTATCCAGGGTCATTTGACTGGGAATAACATCCCTTGGTCCTGGTTGTAATGGTCTTCTTGGACAGGTGGTCGCCTCATCCGAGTGGTCGCCTTGACAAGTCTTACTGTATACTCTCTTGGTTCAGTTGTCTGATGATTGCCTAGTGGCATGAAACTCAGAGTTACAACAAGCCTGAACGTCCTCCGCTGAATCTACTGTATGGATTTGCATACTCTCTAGGTATAACTTACCGACTGGCTACATCAGTGGCTACCAGGATAGAGTGTGACTTGGCCTTGAACTTGTTCAGGGCTCCCAAACGTTTGGGCTGCATCCAACAAACACCATGAACACACACACACACACAGCATGAATACAAAATGAGAACCAGAGCCACTACACGCAGCAGATGGGAAACGACGACGGCATGGTAGTGTGAAGCATCGGTTTCGACAATATCCTTTTGAGTTTGGCTTTAGAAAATTCTCGATACGTTTAGTTGCTTGCATTCAGATCCTGGAGTTAGCTTGATACTGGTGGACCATTGAAAAACCCCACAATCTCCAATAATAGCACAGCGGTTACAGCTGTCATTGAAATAAAAAAGAGCCCTGGGCTCTTATTACAGAAAACAGGGTATACTTCAAACACAGCAAGAGGGACGACAATTGTGGGGGCACATAAAGACATACCTGTGACATCTGACCATGAAGTGGCACGGCGCTGAACCCGAGATTGCGAAGTAGCAACGCAGTCCTGGGCAATGCAAGAGAAAGAGCAGCGGCGACCAGAAAAATCAATGAATCATATAGTTTGATATTTTCTCAGAACATGCTGCAGTGGAAGCTAAAAGACTGATGTGCAGCATTTTTAAAAGTCACCCTCTATAGGAAACATATACTATGTAATACATAATTCATAACAGGCTGGGACTGCTACCCCCCCCCCCCCCCCCTCCCCCTCACACAGACACCCGGTTTTCAGTCTCTAGCTCAACTAAGAAGATTGTACTGTGTGCCTGTGTGTGTGTGTGTGTGTGTGAGTGCTGGTGGGCTAGCTTCGCATAAGTGTCTCTCCAACTCGGCTGCTGAAGTGGCGTCGGTCTCGGCTGTGGCATCGGCAGACTCGGTCCGGAAACAGCGGGTTGCCCTGCCCTGCTGCAGAGCGCATTGTCTCGGCTGCGGTCGCTGCTGCAAGTCATCACGTGGTTTCGACCTGCATAGCTGATAATTTCCTGTCCAGGAAGTAGAGCGGCGTTTCTGGATCCAATGCTGAACTCAGTGCTGTCGACCCCTGCACAGGGGACACGTGACCATTTGATGGCAGTGTTACCAAGGACCAAGGTGTGTGTGTGTGTGGGTGTGTAAGAAAGAGAGAGAGAGAGAGAGAGAGAGAGAGAGAGAGAGAGAGAGAGAGAGAGAGAGAAAGAACAGGCAATGAACAGTCTCATAACAGACAAAGCACACGATAACAGCACTGACAAACGACCAATAACTCACCGCGTCGTGTTCGAACATGTGCAGCAAAAGATGATGAAGGAATTGCCGTGCAGTTCGTTAATGATGAAAGCCAAGTAGCAATCCATGAACTTCTGGGGAACAAATATGTATGACTGTTGTAGCTTCTCCACAGTGCCATACCTGCAGCAGAGAGAGAGAGAGACAGAGAGAGCGAGAGAGAGAGAGACAGAGACAGAGAGAGCGAGAGAGCGAGAGAGAGAGAGAGAGAGAGAGAGAGAGAGAGAGAGAGAGAGAGAGAGAGAGAGAGAGAGAGAGAGAGAGAGAGAGAGAGAGAGAGAGAGAGACACACACACACACACAGACACACAGAGTGAGAGAGACAGAGATACTAGTTTTCGTTTCTTATCTATATTTAGTACGGACGACCCCTAAGCTGCTTGTGCTTATGAACACAATTGCAAAGCTGATGATAATGTGGATGTGCAAACTTCACTACTTACGAAATTTTCCATGGACAATTGAACGATTCGGAATGTTTCAAAGTGGTTGTACAAGTACATGTACATGCATGTCCATTCCCCAATGGCAACACTACGATAGCGGATTGATACTGTGTGTCATAACGTATAGCCAAGTAGCTACTTTCTCATTCGCCTTATGTTAAGAGTCTAAGACAGATCAATCAAAGCCGTAGCGAAGGCCGGATAGGCAAGCAGGACCGGTGACTTACTTTGTGGATACCTCGACTTTGACGGCGTTGCGCACAGACGCACGTTGCAGCTTCTTCACCTACACACACACACATACACACACACGCACAAACGACGACAGCAAGGAGAATATCGAAGAGAACACGTCAGAGCAATGGGGCGGAGTTGCCTCAACTACGATGACTTTGAAAACAAAACTAGGTAAACTCTCACATCATGCAAACAAGACCAACACCACAGTGTACCTTCTTTGTCATAGTCGCTGAGTACAAGTATGTTGTTCTTTCCTTCGGTATGCACTTGAGGATTTTATCGACCTGTGTACACAAGATAACAACAGTGAGGAGTGAGCAAACATGTTGTGCAAAGCCACAAAGATACCTGTGCACACACACGCGCGTACCACAGAAGGATAAAATGTATACCGGAGTATTTTTAAACACACATAAGTACACACACACACACATGCACACGAACACACACCATTGGACCATTGGACGCCCATCGCCGGAGGCGATGATGGCGATGCTACAGCAGAAGCCGTAGTAGCTTGTGCTGGGATTGCACCATTCAACAGCTTGCAAGGCTGAAGAATTGACCGCCACTATTCAGCCTGGTCTACACCACACAGCTATGAAGTGGCTTTTTCTGGCCAGTGAATCCCTACTTTTTGGTCTTTTTTCATTTTTTTCCCCGCACACACATCACACCACATACTCCGGCATGCACTGGCTGTTGGTAACCACCCAGGAGAATGAAAGAAAAGTCAGGAGGAGTCTGAGAAAGAGAAGAAAGACGTGTGTGATCATAATCGTCGGGAATCGAACCCGCAACCTATCGATTGGAAATCACTGCACATACCACTGCACCATATGGGACACACACACACACACACACACACACACACGAACAAACATCAGCACGGTTCTCCGTACATACCTCAATCTCGAAATCCATGTTTAGAATTCGATCAGCTTCGTCCATCACCTGCGGCAAGAAACACATTTGAAAAGTACGCATACACAGACACACACAAACAAGGACACACAGAGCCACACAAGCACACACAGACATGTACAAGCACAATGAGACACACACACATAATTATTATAAATAATTACGCACCCGTCTACTGGTCAGGCCAAGAACCACCTTTCCACTTCCATAGGACGGCTACCAACCACAATGAAGTGTCAGATGCTGCCCCATACAGAGTGGTGGAGACTGGATCAGATCCACCAAGCAGAGGCCAAAGTCCTAAATCCCATCTACCCGTCCATGTAACAACAATCATCAGGATCGGATACATTCAGTAACAGCACAGGACGCGGGCACCTACCAAAAACTTGAGGGAGCGCAGGCTGAATCCCTTGGTGTTTTCCAGATGATCGACGAGACGTCCAGGTGTAGCTGTGAAGAACCAGCATACACACACACAACAGAGCAATACAGTCTAACCTGTAACTAAAGACCACTGTGACTAGCGACCAGCCTGGTACTACAGTAAAACCTGTAACTAAAGACCACCGTGACTAGCGACCAGCCTGGTACTACAGACCACTTTGCCAGGCATGGACGGTCTCACATTCATATAACGGCTGTGCACTGCAAACCTCTAAGGACCAC